ACACTTGGGACAGAACAGGTGACGTTCTGCTTCTAATGTTAAATGTGGTACATTTGGAATAATAATCCAAATGGATCAAATTTCTGCAGTCTACAATAGACTATTTATATTTAAAGAATTATTTATTTAATTTTATTTATTCATTTATTTTTTTAAAATTTGACCAGAGGGAGAGATACATGGTCGGTTATGTGAGAGTGTCCAGCATCTTAACCTCCATGCCACCTGTTGGTCCCTACAATAGACTATTTAAAAGTCACTAGTTTCATTATTGTTTTGTATTAGAAAAAAAACACAAATGAGCATAAATTACATAATACTGTTACTATTTAGTAACACTTATTTTTTTTTTATCAGATATGAGTTAATCTGAGAACAAACTGAACATATGCTCAATGTGTAAGAAGAAACATTTCACAGTTGTTTCAACAAAGAAAAATTGTGGAGGCATTTCTTAACCACATGGAACTTGGTGGCATAGGTCCATAGAACCCAACAGAAACTTCAAGGCACTATTTAATTCCATCTTTATATTTTGACTAGATTTTTTCTGCAGATCTTGTATTCATGCATACCAACTTCAAAAAGTCTATTAGCCATAAATGTAATTTCCTGAATGATAGGGGTGCTTTGAGCATCTTTTATTCTAATATTTGGTTTGATTCCAGGTCTTGACACAAGGACTTCTAAGACCTTCATAATCTCCTAAGTGATAAGAGGGTCTTTTAGAATTTATTTTTATATTATTATCATCATCTTTAATTTATGATAGACCATGTGTATGCACATGAGAGAGAGTGAGAGAGGGAGAGAGAGAGACAGATTGGCATACCCCTGTGATTCCCTTCCTCAGTCCTCCTGCCTGTAGGATCCTGGGCACATGCACATCTACATGGTTTTTAGGCTGACCAGGCCAGAGACTTGAACTGTGATTGGCATGTGGCTTCTAGCTCTGCAGATGCCAGATTATGTCACAGAGACTGGACCAATGTCTTTTTTATATGCTAATAAGATGACTGGTGGCTGGGGTCCCTAGATAGCTT